CAAGCTCTAACCTGGTATGTGACCCAGGAAAGCAAGAATCTCCAACCTGCTCGACAGCACACTACACTTCAGACTAGGACACGTGAAGTCTGAAAAGGAAAAGCGATTTGTCCAATGTTCCAACTAACTGAGATAAGGCCTACACCAGAAAGTCTCCCACCTGTATGTCCAGTAGTCTTTCAACTACGACAGGAAGCCTGTCGCCATGCCCCTTTTGCAAGCCGTCCATTTCCCCATCTGTAAATGAGGAGGCCAGGCCAGACACTGATTTTCAAATTGTGTTGCTCCAAACCCAAGGGATTTCTGCTAGTCTACTTCCTTCCCCTTCAAGCAGAGAAATCTCCAAGTGTATCTATTTTATATAGCATGGAAAAGCTAATTTAACTGGACTAGATGATCCATAAAATGTCCCACTGACTGGGAAAATTAAGACTGTTTAGACCACCAGGAGGTGAATGACAACATAGCACATCACAAGGCGGCCCTGCAAGAGGCCTAGCGCCTCTCAGAACCCCACAGCAGACAGGAAAGCAGAGGAGACTGCAGAGGGAAAATCACTCTTACCTTTGCAATCTCCAACTGTATTGACCTGGTATGTTTCCCAATCATGTACAGACTGACCTATGAAGCTGTGGTTTATGGTCATTTGTGCAACCCTCGCTCTTCTCAGACTGTCCTTTGCCAAAAGCCACCATCAAGCCTATGGATGGATCTGCCCATGGACAACTCCTTCCATGGGTCCAGTATGAAATGAATATTTTTTCATTTATTATTGTCCTAAATGTGTCATGCCAAGAAAAATACATCATGCCAAGAAAAAAAGAAGAGATGTATAAGGGAGGAGGGTCATAGCCATAAAGATAGGGTTAAAAAAAAAAAAAGCAGGACCCTGATCAGGCCAGTATTACAAAGATTTTTCTAGGCAGGACAAGAGCCCTTGGAGACATGTCACTAGGTTGAAAACAGTCGTCTGCCACCATCTCCTGCTCCACCCGTTCCCCCGCCCCCCCAAAAACCTGGCACATTAACTGTTAGAGAGGGCCAAGGCTACCACCTCTGATTTTCTGTAGCAGCCAATTCCATCGTGGAAGCAAGTCTTGATACTGGGGTTAGAGCCTCTACTACCACCAGAGAAACAAACCCAACAGTCTTTGGAACACCAGGTACCAGTTAGGCAGAAAAACTGGCTCTTTGTTCTGTCTCCTCTCTTCCTTTTATGTAAATTTAGGCTTTGGGCATGCAGAAACTTTCTATCTGTCCAGTGATGTTCAAACTCTGGAACACAAATTTAAGCTGTATTGCATACAGAGTTATTTTTATTCTTAATTAGCTGCCACTCTCACATTAAGGATTAAAAAAAAAAACAAAAAACACCAAACTATTTATACCAACATGGGGGACATGAATTCTAAAATTCAGAGAATGAATCATGATTCACAAGGCCAAAATTCAGAAATGAACAGAAACCAGTGGAAATGAATCAAAAATTCATTAAGTCAATAATGGTGAAGACACATGCCATACATAATTAAAATTACCAGCCTCTGCTTGTCAAAAAATGTAAAGTCCTAAGAAGTGAGAAGCTAAAAGAGCCATATGGATCTACTATCCAGCCCTGCTCACTGTCTTACATACAAATGCCCTAACATGTTTTGAGTCAATGGCCCAATTCTGAAGATGACAGTAAATGTATTTTTTTTAAATGTGTTCACACAGAACTATTTTTAAATAAGTGCTGAAGTAAATAAAGTTTGATCATAGCTCAGTTAAGAAATACATCCTTCCAGTAAATCTCCTTCACAGCTGGATGAATGCTTTAATGTGCAACTGCCCTAGGCCAATTCCTAAGGGGGGAAAATCAGGCTTTTGATTTACTTAGGAAATAAAATAAATAAACCTAGAACATGCAAAAGGTCCCCTCTCCTAAATTAAGGAAGGAAAATAGTTGGATGGGTTTTTATGAAAACCACCTCTTCCTCTGAATGAATTTCCTAAACCCCACCCCCAGGGTAAGATCACTGAAGAAAACAGCTCAAGGAAAGGTAGCTAAGGTACATTTCCCAGGTAATTAAGACCAAAAATCCAACCAAATTAGCCAGTTCCTGGTACCTGTTTCTCATTCTATCAATTCAGGTCACTCCAAAGGCTTGGGGAAGCTCAGCGCTCACCCGCATAAGCCCTTGCACACAGGTGAGCCCCTCTCCCCCACACTCCAGCGCAGATCTGTCCGGAGGCCCCGAGCTCCTGTGGGTGGGAGCGCCTGCAATACCAGAGGGCAGAAATCTGAGTGACACTTGGCACTCTCTCTTTCAACAAACAACCACAAAGAGCTTTCCAAAGCCAGGCCTTTACTGTTTTGAAGACCAGGAAGCTGGAGCCTTCCTGGGGCAGAGGTGAAAAAGAAATAAGCCCACTTTCCCCCACCCTTCCCAAAGGTTACACTGCAAACCAGAGGCAATGAGGCAATTAGGAATGGCAAGGCTCTCCTGCAGACCCAGGGCAGTAAAACACCAAGTGAGTCCATAACCCCTGGTAAGACTGGGGAGAACTTGAGAACGGGCTATTCCCCAGCCAAGGGTAAGACAAAAATATTCCTTGTCAGCTGGAAAACAAAACAAAACAGAAAAGCACACTCCTACATTCTCCCAAGGGGTGCTAGCTGGAGGTGGAAGAGGGAGAGGGTACAACTGTCTCTTTACAACAGAGCAGAGGAGAGAGGAGGGAAAGGGAGAAAGACCAGTGAGCAGCTGCACTCTCCTTTTCTGAAGGACACAAAGCAGCAAAGCCCAGGGAACTGAAGAGGCTAGGGAGCAAAACGGGAGATGGAAAGAAAATGGGGCAGCAGAAAGAGATCCCCCCACCACCCAACCTTGGTAAAAGGGGGTGGGGAGAAGGGGGAACACTCCCAGACTCCAGAGAGCAGTAACCAGTCAACCAACCCCCACCGATTTGCCCAGATCTCACAGGATCCCTCAGGATCAGGGAGCCAAGGGAATCCACAGTCTAAATCAGAAAACCCTAGGCCCAACCCAGCCCCTTCCTCTCCAAAGTTGAGGACGGAGACCAGAGGAAGGCACGCCTGAGGAGGGGGAGCACTCAGTAGGGAAGGGGCGGGTCAAGGGAGGGGAGCTTGTAGAAGCAGCAAGTGTGAGAGAAAGTAAATGGGGAGAGAAAGAGGCTGGCAAAATGCAAAGGGAAAGAAAAGGGGAGGGAGAAAAGAAGTCCATGAGGAACAGAACTGGGAGAGGTGTTTCAAAAGGGAGGAAGAATCCATCCAAGAACTCAGGAGGCTCTAAGAGGGTGACTGGGGTGGGGAGGCAGCAATGATAGGAAGGAATGGTTGAGAAAGCATCTCTAATATTGGGCAGAATAGGGGGAAGAAGGACTCAAACAAGAGGTACGAGACAGGGCAAAGTGGAGAGAACAAATACAAGAAAGGAGAGAGTGCAGGTTGGGAGGGGAATCACAATGGCTGGGGGAGGGAAGGTCAGGTGGTGATCTTAGAACTGAGAGGCAACAGAGGTGAGAGGCAGTTACAAGAGGACCAGGGTTAAAGAGGACCCCTCCGCCAGGGAGGAGCAGTAGGAAAAGTTGAAATGAATCCAAAAAAATAGGTGAGCAAGTGGACAGCTCCAAAGGGACAGAACTGGGAGGAAGACACTAAACAGAGGGCAGAAATGAGCACATGAAACAGCAGGTGCAAAAAGGATTTGGGGGGAGGTCTGTGAGACGAGAAACGGGAAGGAAAGGGGGTGATGGGTCGGAGAGAAGTTATTGATGGTTTAACGAGGCAAGGGTCCAATCTAGAAGGGCCAAAATGGAGACAAGAGGAGTTGGAGCAAAGAGGCTAGAAAACAGGTCTAAAGCAGAGAACTGAAGTGGGGAGACGGGTCAAAGAAAAGAGGAGCAAATGAATGGAATAGCTCAAGAGTGGCATTAAGGAGGTGAGAAGAGAAAACCTTAAGAACACTGGGGCAGACCGAGTCCTCAGGGCAGCAGCAGGGCTGCGGAGTGGCTGGGTCAGGGGAAAGACGGCAGAGAAGTGACCGGCAGAAATGAGAGACCTGCAGGGTCAGAGGCCGGGAGGAGGCTGCTTCAAGAAAGGCAGAGTCCGAAAGCAAGCAGGTTAGGGGGCATAGCAAGAGCTGAGGTCAGGGAAGGCGCAGAGCAGGGAGGCAGAAAAGTCCGGAAGAGAGGAAAGGGTCTGAATGGCAGAGAAGCAAGACCTGAGAAGGGGAGAAAACAGCACGAGGGAGCAGGTGGCAGGACTAAGACATGGGAGGGTCAGAGAGCCAGGGGCACCCCTAGGATACAGCAGGTGCTGTGTGAGTGGGCAGTACGGCCGAAGACGGAGGTGAAATTAAGTCCAAGGAGAAGACCTGGGTCAGCAGTGCGAGACTAACAGGGTCTCAGAAGGCTCTCAAAGGAGGTGGAATCGCAGGTCCTAGAGGGACAGCTCCTGGGGATGCAACAGATTCTGAAAGGAGTAAGAGTAGATAGGTCAAAAAAGAGGGCAGATGCAAAGAGTGCTAAGAGTGGAATCGGAGAGGAGGCAGGGGGATCAAGAATCTCAAAGTAGGGGTCCAGAATTAAGGGATGCAGAAGGGTCACTGAGGAAGTGGGTCCCATGAGCACTGCAGAGACAAGGAGGGGCGAAGGCGGAAGGGGGGGCGCAGAATTGGGAGCACACCGGCTGAAGTGCAGGGGTGGACGAAGCAGATACCGAGATCCCAATCGGAGGGAGGGGGCAGAAGCGGGGACAGCAGGGCCGGGGCAATCAGGGGCTTGTCCGATGGGCCGGCGGGCCCCGCGAGCCGGGCCGCAGTACGAAGCTGCGGGGCCGACGGGGCCCGGGGGGCTGGGGGGCCGCTCCCTCCCCTCCCCCTCCGGCTCTTCCATTGTTCGCGGGCTCCGGGCCCCGCGGTCCCCGCCTCCCCCAGGACCCCGCAGCGGGGCGGCGCCCGGCCTCGCTGCCGGGGCCCGCGAGCTCGTGCACTCACCAGCTGGGCACCCTCAGCGCGGCCCCGGCCTCCGGGATCCCGGCAGCGGCGACGGCGGCCCCGGCGCCATGTTCTGCTGCTCCTAGTCTAGCGGCGGCTGAGGCGGTGGCGGCGGCTCCGGCGGCGGGGGGCCGGGTGGACCCTCCCTCGCGGACTCCCTCCTCCGCCTCCTCCACCTCCTCCTCCCGCCGCGCCGCGGCTCTCCCTCGGGGCCGGGGGGGCGGGGAGGGGAAGGGGGAGGGGCGGGAACCAGGGGAGGGCGGACCAGCCTCGCTCGTTCGCTCCCTCCCTCCTTCGCAATGGCGGCGGCGGCGCCCCTTTCCTGCGGCCGCCGCTCCCTCGCGCGCGCCCCCTCGCTACTGCGCGTGCGTGGCGCTGGGACCGTTGCAGGATAACGGCCCCTGGGCGCGCGCCGCGAGGGGACAGCCGGCGTGAAGTAGGATGAGAAGCGAGAGCGCGTGCGCGCCTGAGGGGCTCACTGTCACCGTCGCGGCCTGTGGCTGGGAACCGCCGCGGAGGGCGCAGTGCGCGTGCGCCCCAAGAAAATGCCACTACTGCAGTGAATGCGGCGCGAGAGAGAGCTCCAGGCGACCCGCGACCGGGCAGCGAGGGGTGGGCAAGTGCGCATGCGCGGAAAGGACTGCCAGCCGCCGCAGCTACTAGCACGAGGCGGAGGGAGTGGCAGGCCGGAGGCGCGCGCGTCAGAAGCAGTCTATACCCCCTCCTCGTGCTGGCTCTAGGAGAAATCCGAAGGGGAGAGGCCCGTTCTGCGGAGGCGGGGGCAAGGGGCGCGATTCCGCTCGCGCGGGACCTGACTAGCCAATGGGAGGCAAGGGAAGGTGGGTTTGCCGCGCGAGCCGCAGCCCCCGGGATAACGGAGGAGGAGAGAGGGAAAGACGTAACGTGGGGCGGTGGGGAGGGACTAAGAAGGAGGGAGCGCACCCTGCAAGGAAGTTGACTGGGGAGCACGAGGACGCGTGGTCCGCTTCAGCCCAAACTGAGCCTCAATTCGTCCCTGCCGAAGAAGGGGCGGGGCTGGGAAGCGCGTGCTCTTTGCCCTGGCAGTGAAGGAAATCTAGACAACGCTCAAATGAATACTACTTGGTCTGGTTTCTGTGACCGCCAGAAGCGCGGGAGAGGGGCGAGGGCCCTGTCCTGGCTGCGCCCCGACCTCCAAGTCAGCATTATACAAATGACTGCAAATGTCAGTTTGGGCGACCGGAGGGGAAATAGCAGTAATGGGAAGTTACCCGCTCTAACACCTGAGTTCCTCTGAGCTGAGGAAGGGTTCCTCTGGGACCCCTCCGGAAGCCTGGATCGTGGAAGGTGAGCGTTCCGGGCGCCCAGTCAGTGTTTATGGAATGCATGAAGAAAGCCTGTACTTCCTATTGCGTTTTGCGTTTCTTTCCTCAGTCTCTTCATCTACAAAATGGAATAATCATCTTTCCTTCCTCGTAGAGACCTGTGACAGTTGAATGAGTTATATTTGTAAAGCGCCGAAAACCATCCCTTGTCCTATAAGCGATGATAAAATCACATGCGCTGAAGTTTTAAAACATCCCGTTAAATAAAAGTTTTCTGATGACTGATCACAGTTTCCATGGCCCTTTTTTTTTTTTTAATTTAGCACTTTAATGCATGAAATCTGATTTTTAGATGTTAGTGACTTTTTTAAAGTTTGTTTTAAACTCTGGGGACCAAACAAGTGTGTGGGCTAGATTTCCTCTAGGCTGCCATTACAAACCCTGTTTTGCAAGTGATTTTGAGATTACTTGAGGAAACACCAGAGAGACTTGAGAGAGAGGACACCGGATTCCCCTACCTCCAGTTAATGTCTTTGTAACTCCAATGCAGTGTTCCAGGTCCTTCCAACCTTGGGAAATTTGTGAACTGACAGCACCTAAAGAAGAGAGAAGACTGGGCTCACTCACTGGACGTCGACACTCCCCTTTTTTGAAGCCCGTCAACTCCAACTTATCCTTCTAGTCAGCTTGAAATCACTTCCTCAGGGTGGGCTGGATTTGTACTGACTCTTCATTCTCTGATAAAAATGGGCACTTTGTGCTAGGCAACATTCTAAGCACTTTAAACAACTCACTGGATCCTTTGCGACACCTTTTGAGTAGGCAATAGTTACTATTTTACTAAACTACAGCACAGAGAGGTTACACAGCTAGTTAATGGCGGGTTTGCGATTCAAACCCAGACAATTGGATATAGGACTGTCTTTATTCTTCGTAGCACTCCGTCAGAATTTGAAGTTCTATGTTGGTATCACCATTTTATATGTGAGCTAATTGAAGTGAGAGGCTCTGGCTAGTCCTCAGGCTAGCCAATGGCCCACAATAAATATTAGTTAATGAATAAATGAAAGAATCCAAGGCTAAGTAAAGGGGATGATGGCAGGCACTGGGGGCATACATAGTATCGAAAAAGACACAGTCCTTGTCCAATGACTAACTCCTACCCCTTTCAAATGGTAGCTCAGATGTTCCTTTTCCAGGAAGCACTCCCTGATCTGGCAGGCTGGGTCAGGTTCCCTGTCTAGGCTCTGATATACAGCCCCTTTGAGTCCTCCACCCAAGCCCTGACCACCCTGGGTCGTTCCTGTCTAGTGATGGGTCTTTTTCTTTCCCACCAGACTGTGAGCCCCATGAGGACAGGGCAGGGACTCTCGGTCACCGTTAATGTTCCCAGCACAGGTTCAGGCACAAGGCAGGGCCTCAAGCAGGATTTCCCTGAATGAACGAAGGTCCTCCCAGCTCTGCAATTCTTTCCAGTGCGCAAGAGGGCGGGTGTCAGCTGAGCAAGCCAACCACAGGAAGCAGGCTTCCCTGGGGGCAGCCGTCCTGCACACCCCACTAGCTTCTAGTCCAGAATAAATAAACAACTGAATAAACAATTAGCCGACAGAAAGAAGTGCCTACTGCCAAGATTTCCTAAGCGCTGCCCCGGAGGCCCTGATGACTGGGACAGGGGGTCACACCAACCAGAGAGGCAGAATAGGTACAAGTTGTGACCTGGGATTCCTGACCTGCATGGGAGAGATGCACAGGAAGAAAAACCCACAAAAGAATTTTGTAAAGAGGGTGGAGGTGCTGGAGCATATTCTCTCTCCATTTCTTGGAATCAGAAAGAATCAGAGGCCTCGGGGAGCTCAGCTGGTTGGAGCATCGTCCAGATACACCAGGATTACAGGTTCAATCTCTGGTCATGGTACATGCAAGGAGTTGGTATTTCTCTTCTCGCTCTCTCTCCCTCTCTCTCAAATCAATAAATTAAAAAATAAAAAAGAAGAAGAAGAAAAAGAAGAGGAAGAGGAAGGAAGAGAGAAAGAATCAGAGAGGGTGGGGACCAAGTCTGAGATTGACCAAGGCGTCGGTGTATTCACAGCGCCGCCTACAAACCGATCTGAGGAAGCTACAGCTCGCTGGTACCGCAGAAGTCTGAGAGCGATGAACTCTTCCGCCATTGGCCAGAAGGTCAGCCAATCACCAGAAAGGAACGGGAGGCGGGAAGGCTCGGATTCACTGCTTTATCCCAGCGCCTGACTACCAGTGCTTGTTGGACACTTAGTGGGGATGCACTAAATACTTGGTGGAAGAATGGATGATGACCCTATCAATGTCCATAAACTTTAAAAATTGAAATATAACATGCATACCGAGAAGGGCACAAATCACAAGTGTACAAAAAGAGAACACATGCCTATAACCAGCACCCAGGTTAAGAAACAGTATGACCAATGTCTCTGGAGCTCCCTCCTCCAGTGTCCCATGCCAGTCCTTCCCCTCCCCCCAACAAGAATCACTGTTCTGATTTCTTTGACCATAGATTAATTTCGCCTGTTTTTATACTTTATATAAATGCAATTATATACCAAGTGGCCTCTTTTGATCAACACTGTTCGCTAGATTTATCCATGTTACTGGTGTAGATGTAGCTCATTCATTCTCAATGTTGTGTAGTACGTATTCCCCTGTGTTAATGAACCACGGTGTCTTTATCGATTTTACTCTTGTTGAGCATCTGTGTAGTTACCACACTTGAGCGATCATGGACAGTGCTGCTGTGAGCGCCCTATATCCTGTCTTTTCATAAACATACATATGGACTCATTTCTGCCAGGTATGCACCTCAGAGTGCTGGTCACAGAGTGGGTATGTGTTCACTTTCTTTAACTGATCTCCCAAAGTGAATATAACAATTTACATCCCCAGAGTCATGCATAAGAATTTCAGCTGCTCCATGTTTTCCTAAACACTTGATATTGTCTGTCTTTTTATTTATTTTAATAAAAATTTTTATTTATTAATTGATTTTAGAGAGCTAAGAAGAGGAAAAGGAAGAGAGAGAGAGAGAGGGAGGGAGAGAGAGAAACATCGATTTGTTGTTCCACTTATCTATGCATTCACTGGTTGATTCTTTTATGTGTCCTGACCAGGAATCAAACTCGCAATTTTGCTGTATTGAGAGGACACCAAAACCAACTGAGCTACCTGGCCAGGGCCTCTGTCTTTTTAATTTTGGCCATTCTAATGGCTGTGTGGTGGTGTCCCATTATAGCCTTAATTAGTCTTTCCCCAATGATTAATGAGGTTGAGCATCTTTTCATATATACTATATATGATCCATTTGAATAGCATGTTTGTGGCTCTGTTCAAATCTTTTGCCCATTTTTCTATTGTATTATATATTCTTTACATTAATTATTTTTCCCCAGAGTTTATTTATTTATTTTTAGAGGGGAGGGGAGGGAGAAAGAGAGGGAGAGAAACATTAATGTGTGGTTGCCTTTCATGCGCCCCCTATTGGGGACCTGGCCTGCAACCCAAGGTATGTGCCCTGACCGGGAATTGAACCAGCGACACTTTGCTTCACAGGCCGGCGCTCAGTCCACTGAGCTACACCAGCCAGGATTTAATTATTTTTAATTATACAACAGTGCCTAAATTTCTTGTCCTTGCAAAAATTTAAAATACAGTCTCCTTGAACAACCCAAACTTGTCCCACTTGCCTCTCCAGAAGTGTGTTTCCTTCCAGATCCCTCTATACACTTACATGAATGTAGCATAGTATAGTGGCTAGAGCCATCATATCTGGAGGCTGAATGCCTGGACTAGACTCTCAGCTCCACCATTTGTTTACAAGCTGTATGAACTTGAGCA